TAATCCTTATTTTCAAATTTTATTATCTATAATTATTTTTTTAATATTTTTGCATTTTAAAAAAGTAAATCAAAGCTAAATGAATGGAAAAATGCAGGCAAATTTGCCTGCGTTGGCCTACAATCTAAGAGATAGTATACAATAAATGTAGAGTAAAGGCTTCATTTATTTAGAGTACTATATAATTTTTTCTAATATAGTATATTTTTTGTTGCAACTCTTTTTTCTTTCTTTTTGTTCATATATATTAAAACTACGATAGTCTTTTTTACTTTATTTTTTTCATCTGTTTCTGTTCTCTTTTATTTTTGTTTCCTATAGATTTAGTAATTACACTCTTTTCTTTTTTTTTATTCTTTTCTTTTTTTTTTGTTCCCTATATTGCCTCTTTTATACAACTATTTTTTCTTTATTTTGCTGAAATATAAGTAAGAAAAGTTTTTAAAAAAAGACTAGGCAATCTTGATATGAGCTGGTAGTAGCCTCTTTAGGATTAGATACATATAGACTATCATATAGTTAAATGCTCTTTTGAGAGAAATAGTTACTGTGGCAAATCACACTTAGGCATCTTTAAGACAGCCAAGTGAATTTAGAATTGCAACAAGGAAAGCAGTCTTAAAAATTAGAATGGTTTTATTTTATTTTTTTTGTATTTGTCTTTATACTATTTCAAGTATTCTCCTAATAAAATGAAGAGCAAGATCGCCTAAGTTTAAAAAAAAAAAAAAAATAACAGTTATTAGATTTAATATGTAGTTGGTATAAAAATATTCAGAATATTGAAGAATCAGAAACATATAGATATAAGAATTGTGATATAACTATAGACAAGGATATCAATAGTGCTCGAAGGATATTCCTCGAGCTTTGCTTGATGGAGCCATAATCTTATCATAAAACATTTTTATGCAGAAAATAGTAACTTTGTATATAATTATTATTGAAGTTCATACGGCCAACACTACGAACTCGAATTATTTGTGGGTAGTTACGTAATTAATTTATTAATTTATAGAGTTTTTTGAAACAGTATTTCTTAGTATAGAATTAAAATTAATTGGTGATATAGGTGACCAATTATACGTATGAACTTTCCTACGTGAGAACAAATATTGTCAAAAGGGTTACACTAATTAATGTTCAAAATAACATTAAAACATTTATCGTGGCATAACCGAATTCGCTGAATCCCGTTATCGGAAAAATTTATATAAGTGCATAAAAAAACAGAAATGCCCGGTCCTGATCTGCACATCATTATATAAACTTTAGTGTGATTTACTACTAAATTTCATTGTTTAACATGGCGTCGCTCTACTCAGGTATATACTGTATTATTTCAATTTAAAAACGAGTTATCATGGAATTTTAACTAAACGAAGGCTATTTATTAAATGTATTTTTATTCACATATGTAGAGCAATATTTAACGCCTATGGGCACAGGCGACATAAGAAATCGTAAAACAAGATACAAAAGTTATTTTACGTCTCAGACATACAGCTTAGACGAAAACTTGAAGGAGAAAAGATCTTACAGATCTCTTATAGGAATATCTATTACCGATTTATATAATCTTATTGGACTTACTGTTATTGCTATCTTTGTAAGGTTATATCACATAGAACTCCCTACCTCCGTAGTGTAAGTTAATGTCATTATAATTGAATTAATTTTTAAAAGTTAAATTTAATCGAATTTATATACTTTTAGATTTGATGAGGTTCATTTTGGTGGTTTTGCGGCGTAAGAATTCATGGCATGTTGATATTGTTAATTATGTAAATTTCTCAAGTCAGTAACTTATTATTTTTGCTATTACTATTGAAATTTTAGAAAATATGTAAAGGGTAGTTTCTTTATGGATGTGCATCCGCCATTAGCAAAGTTACTCATAACTTTTGCAGGCATATTGGGTGGTTTCGATGGATCATTTGAATTTAAAGAAATTGGCGAGTGAGTCTAATTGTTTGCACCTATTTTTATTAGTAATTTATTTTATAGTTTGTAAAACCCCATTTTTTCTACTTTTTAATCAAGTGATTATATCGAACCTAAAGTTCCGTACGTGATCATGCGTTTAGTGTCTGGAATTCTGGGAATTTTTGTAATACCGATTGCTTATCTAACCATTAAATTAGCGGGGTTTTCGACTATTTCCGCGTTTTTGGTCGCAAGCTTAGTAATATTTGGTGAGCTTAAGAATAAATTATATAAAAAACCTCTATACGTTAGATTTAACCAATTGTTTTCTTTTTAAGAGAATGGTTTGGTAACTCAGAGTAGACTTATCTTGCTCGATTCGCCATTGATAGCTTTCACCGCATTTACAGTATTAATGTGGGTCAAATTTCTAAACCAAGAAAAAAGGTACATAACATTTTTGTTACTAAAAAATTTCGATCATACTAAGTATTTTTTATAACTTATGTTAGACCATTTGAATTATCGTGGTGGGTTTCGTTAGCTATGACTGGTGTAGGTCTTGGTATTACAGTTAGGTATGTTCCAATGTTTGTTTTTGCATTATAAAGATTATTAATAGTATCGACAAAACTTAGGTATTGTTTATTTGTTTATATTTATAATTATCAGTGTTAAATGGGTTGGCCTTTTCACAATTGCCTTTATTGGCCTCTCAACTATTAGCGGACTATGGAGATTATTAGGCGATTTACGTGTTTCTCTGGTACATAGAATAAGTCATCAGATTGTTTGGTTTGCTCATATGTCAACAATTTTAATGACCCGTGTTTTTTTTTATTAGCCATTATTTATTAAACACTTTCTCGCTCGAGCATTGTGTTTGATTGTTATTCCTATTATTTTATACATGTTTTTCTTTGTAATTCATTTTGCAATATTACAAAACACTGGGCCGGGTGATGGATTTATGACTTCCGAGTTCCAACAGTCATTGAGAGGACATGGGATGGAGGACATGCCTCTTGGTTATTAAATATTATATTAAATATGCACATTCTAAAGTTTCTATTTGTTTTTTCCTAATATTTATTTATTTATTACAGATGTTGCATATGGAGCTCAACTTTCTATTAAGCATGAAAATACACAAGGTGGTTACCTACATTCACATCTGCATACTTATCCTACAGGCAGCAAACGTAAGTACGATCTATGCTTCAAATTGAAATTTGAATATTTCATTAACCAGATTCGATATATCCAGAACAACAGGTTACTTTGTATCCGCATAAAGATGCCAATAATTTATGGGTTATACATAATGAAACCGATCCTGAAGTGCCGTTTAATGAAACCAACCCAACCTGGATATATCATAATGCAATAATTCGTCTCGAACATATTGTAACTAAAAGAAGACTGCATAGTCACAATGTTAGGCCACCAGTGACGGATGTGGAATACCAAAATGAAGTCAGGTATGAAATTTTGAATTGTTCCATAATACCGTTTGTAATTTTAATTTATTAATGGCGATGTTACTTTTTTAGTTCATACGGATACGAGGGTTTTCCAGGAGACGCGAATGATCATTGGCGTGTGGAAATCACTGATTATGATAAATCTGATCCAGAGTCTCGTGAACGTCTTCGTACACTTCATACTAAATTTCGTCTTTATCATGTTATTACTGGCTGTTATCTTTACTCTCATAAGGTGAAATTACCTGATTGGGGTTTCGAGCAACAAGAAGTTACTTGTGTTAGAGGTGGGAACTATAAGAATACAATCTGGTATATAGAATCAAATTCTCACCCAAAACGTACGTATTAATGTTTAAAATTTTACTTAATGAAATGTTCATAAAGTTTATCATCTCTTTTATGATTAATTTTATTAGTACCGGCTGATGCTGAAATGGTGAATTATAAAAAGCCAGGATTTTTTAAAAAATTTTTTGAACTTAATCAAGTTATGTGGAATACCAATAGTGGACTGACTGATTCTCATCCTTATGAATCTCGTCCTTTGTCTTGGATGTTTTTAAAACGGGGTATTAATTTTTGGGTCCAAAATAATCGTCAAATTTATTTACTTGGAAATCCGCTTATATGGTGGGCTTCTACCTTTTCAATCCTTATTTTTGTTGTTGCGAAATTGGTTGTAGTTTTAAGAGAAAAGAGAGGATATAAAGATTATTTGGATGGTAAGATTTCATAAGACATAGAAGAGAGTTGTACTATAATGAATGTGGATATTGTGTAAAATTGTACAATATCTTATATCCTTTGGTCAGAATAAAGCGATTTTTACATTATTTTGATTTGTTCCATTATAACAAATTAAATAAATGACGTATAAATCGTTTGATTTCGATGACTGGATTACGGGATATCACTCAATTCTTTATATTACCCATTACGCCATATATTATAACAAATAATTAATTAGTTATTATTATATTTAGGTAAAAAAGAGCATTTTGAATCATGGTCCGGGTTATTCTTCTTGGGATGGTGTTTGCATTATCTTCCATTTTTCTTAATGTCTCGACAATTATTTTTACATCATTATTTTCCTTCATTGTATTTTGCAATTCTTTTAATTGGTATAGCATTTGATTTCCTTACATGTAGAATGTCTTTTAAAAGTCGGCTAATTACCGCAATAGTAATTTTAGTGGCAAGTGTATATGTATTTACAATATTTTCACCACTAATTTATGGTAACCCATGGACAAAATCGGAATGTGAGAAGGTCAAATGGTTAAATACCTGGGATTTTGAATGCCATGTACATCATGATAATTATGAAGATTATTATGCAGAGAATCCAGATGTTATTGAAAATCCAGATATAATTGAAGAGGCAAGTATAACAGAATTTCCAGAGGAATCGACAACTGAAGGTGCTTTCAATGTAGAAGTACCCGTGGAATCGACAACTGAAGGTACTTTCAATGTAGAAGCACCCGAGGAATCGATAACTGAAGGTGCTTTCAATGTAGAAACACCCGAGGAAGGGGTTGATCATGATGAGGAAAATGTAGATGCGAATGTGCGAGATTAAAAACATTACATGAAAGCAAAAGATTATAAATAAGGATGAGATAAAACCACAACTACATAAATAGATAATTTTCTTTCAGGAACATTAATATGTGATTTATAAAAATTTTTTTATTATTAAAGTGTTTTAATATTAACTCTAGATAGAAAAAAAAATTTAAATCTAGGCTATTTTATTTGTGAACTAAATTAAACAGCAGCTTTTGTATTTTATTTTTTTAAAAGAATATATATATATAGAAATTAACATTCAAAAGAAACAAGAGTTCATCTTTATAATATGCAAACCTCTCAAAATAGATACACTGTATATGATATTGTTTTATAAGAAAGATCACATAGCATTTGAGTTCTAGATAATATGATTATTAAAACATTTTCATATCATATAAAGCTTGTCGAGCTTAGCATATTTGATTGCTCAAGGAAGGAAGGTGCATAACTAATTCCTTTTCCGAAAACAGTAAGCCTTGAGCGGGAAAATTTAAGAATTTATTGAACTAAAATCGCATTATTCCGATAATCACATAAACAATCAACAATCGCGTTATTACTTGTTACACTTGCATTTTTGATAGATCTAGATGCTACTCAAAATTTGATTACGTTCTTGATGTACTTTTAGTAAAATATTTTTGAACTTTGAGCGAATATATCTCAATAACTACTTGACCAAATTTGATGAATTTTTTTTGTTTTAATTCTATGGATATATAGAATTCAAATAAAAAAAAAATTCATCGAATTTGATCAGGCGATTGTTGAGATATCTTCGCTCAAAGTTAGCAAACAAATTCAAAACGTCTATTAAAATAAGTGCGCCAAATTTTTTCTAAAATTTGAACGAAGATATCCCAATAACTACTCGACCAAATTCAATGAATTTTTTTTTTTAATTTAATTCTACAAATATATAGAATTCAAATAAAAAAATTTTTATCGATTTTGGTCAGGCGGTTGTTGAGATATTCTCGCTCAAAGTTTTATAAAAAAATTTGGCACGAATTGATATTTTGAATTTGTTTACTAACTTTGAGCGAAGATATCTCAACAACCGCCTGACCAAAATCGATGAAATGAATTCTATATATTTATAGAATTAAACCAAAAAATAATTCATCGAATTTGGTCGAGTAGTTATTGAGATATCTTCGTTCAAATTTTAGAAAATTTGGCGCACTTATTTTAATAGACGTTTTGAATTTGTTTACTAACTTTGAGTGAAGATATCTCAACAACTGCCTGATCAAATTCGATGAATTTTTTTTTTATTTGAATTCTATATAAACCAAAAAAAAAAAAAATTCATCGAATTTGGTCAAGTAGTTATTGAGATATCTTCGCTCAAAGTTCAAAAACATTTTACTAAAAGTGCAAGAATGTAATCAAATTTTGAATATATCGTAGATCTATCAAAAACGTAACTACTGAACTATCAATTTTGAAACTTTTTCATTATGCTTGATTTCAAGTGATACTAAACACGTGCGAAAGGAACAAAATTACTATTCTATCAAGATCAGCATACTGTTCCTATCAGGAACAAGTGATTTTTTTATATCAAAATCAGAATAATATAGTGCAGGACAGTCAGAGACATCCAATGTTTATTAATAAAAACTTTAAAGTGTTATAACTTTTTTAAAACAAGTTAAATCAAAAAATCTTTTGACAAATTAATAGATTTTTAGATAAACTATATTTCTGTCAAAGGATTTTTTTTTATTCTTTGTTTTAAAAAAGTTATAAAAGATTAAAATTTATATGAGTTCAAAAAATTGGCATTTAATATAAAAAAAAAAAAACTTATCTAACTACACTAATTACAAACTAAGTAAAACCAAAACCTTTCAAGTCAAAAACTTTTTAAACAACTTTCTTACTATATCTCAATTACATACATACTATCCAAATATTATTAAAACAAAACAATATATTTCTTGTAACCAAACTGATGACAGTATACACTGGCTATTCTGTCCAAACCCACAACTAATCTTTGACATAATTAAATCAAATATACAATCTAATTTTACACTAAATAATCTTGATATTTCAACATCACAATTCTTATATCTTCAAAATTCTTTTATTAACCATCACTTCCTATAATTACTACAACCTTTCTCTAATAATATCTCACTCTACTAATCTATTACAGATCTTGTACCGAATGACCTTATACAACTACTATATCTATATACAGACTCCTACAAAACAGCTCAACAACTCATAACTTCACTATTTATAAAAATATCTGAATTAATACATGAGCAATTATGAAAACCCTATTGTGCTAAACTCTCTGAATAGAAACAAACTAATAATATAAAACTTCATAAACAAATTCTTCAGACCAATACCACACAACCAAATTCACTTCAAATATACTACAACTCTAACTCAAATAAAATTAGTTGCATATATAGATATCCTAAAAAATAACACAAAAACTCTCTCTGTTCTCTAGAAGGACTAGCATATCACAAACTATATATTTGGTCTATTGAATGAATTAAATATAGCATTCCTTCTAATAATATAATTAATATTCAAATCTAGATGAGTTATGACCACTCTAGTAGGTTTAGGTCACAGATAAATTAGTCTGAGTTTCA